CGATCAAGCAACCCTAAAATGTAAGTTGCAACAGCACTTTGCTTAGCGTATTTCCATCACCAGCCTAAGCAGCTGATCTGCCGGAACTGTGAGTACAGACTACAAGCGAGAACTATCTCCAAGTATACAGTATTGTGACAGCACGGAGGCCTGCACAATGTCGAGCACTACAATTCATACAAACTGCTAGTGTGAGTGACACTATAACTAGAGGCATTTTGGAGATTCGGTGGCATGCACACAACCAGCCCGTGGGTGCAGTAAGGGATGCAACAGAAACAGTTTGTGTAACAAGAAAAACATTCCCTGGTATATTGGTTACCATTGCTAGGAATCAAAGAACTAGCGCAATAGAACAGGGAATCAGACAATGATAACTAACAGCTCGCTCTGATGTACAGTAGAACTTGTCTGTACTAAAGTTGAATAGGATATATGTAAATTTGCTCCATTTTGCATTTTTTTAGGTTTAAGGCTGAAGAAAAAAATTACATATTATAATGATTTGCGTAGAGGATATTGGTACCTTAATTCATTTTACAAAGGCATATATATATATAAGTTACGTAATGCAGAAGTCATACCGACAAGATTAAGCAAAACACTTTCAACTTGTGCATCATTAAACAAATTGCTTCTACTTGTATTAAACAAAAATAAGAATAAATTCACAAAAAACATTTACTGTAATTTAAATCAGTGTTTATATAGCTGCAAAAAAATTATTTGTTTTGGAGTTACATGTGGTTTTGAGAAAGATAAAACAACATTTATGTTATATTCGGGTTGTTGGAAACTGTTTTATAAATAAGATACTTACAAGTAAGCGACAGAGCTTAACAAAGATCAGCGATAGCTAAAACCAGCTGCCTTTTCGCAGATACAGTCACATTGGTTTGGTGCTGTCCACAGATTACCTGCAGCTGGTTGCCAGATGTGTAAGATAACATATATAGAACACAAGCTTTTATAACACTCTATATCTGCTAAACCCCTTTTGCCTCCTGAGTAGTGATTTATTTAATCATCTTGTGAACTTTGAAACCTTACGAAAGACTTTGTGTGTGAGGTACTGGCTGTGATAAGTAAAGGTAATTTGGAAGGTACTGGGTGTGATAAGTAATGTAGTTTGAGAGGTACTGGCTGTGATAAGTAAGGTATTTTGTGAGGTATTGGCTGTGAAATGTAATGGAGTTTGTGAGTCACTGGCCGTGAAAAGTAATGTAGTTTGTGAGGTACTGACAATGATAAGTAATGTACTACTACTGTGCTGTCACTTGAAATCGAGTATGTCGATCATCCAGCTATGATACAATGATATGAGTTGTTAGGGATGTCACCTTCATTGGTGAGTTTTAAGGTGACTAAAGAGGCTTATATGGGACCAGCATAGTCGTTCACAGATGTCGCACATGTGGATGGCTCCATAAACTTCGGGAGGAGCGGCGGCAGTGTCTTTCCGTCGCTGGCGCTTGTCTGCCTCGGTTTGCAGTCGGGCAAATTCGAAAGTATTGACACCTTCTCGTGTGGTGCTCCTCCAAACGTAACGGTGAGGAGTAATCGTCTCCCAGGTCAGGGGATCGATTTGGCACTTTTTCAGGTTTCTCTTAAGACAATCCCTATAACTTTTCAGTTGCCCGCCCGCATTACGTTTACTATTCGTTAGATGACTGTAAAGTAGCTGCATTGGCGGTCTACTGTCGTCCATATGGGTAACAAGACCAGTCCAACACAGTTGTTCATGGATAATGGTAGCCTAGATGCTCCTACAGTTGGTGTCAGCAAGAATACTGGCATTTGTTTTCTTGTCTTCCCAAAGAACTCGGAAGATGGAATGTAGACTGCGTTGGTGAAAGTTTTCAAGTGCCTTGAGGTGCCTCCTGTATGTAACCCATGTCTCACTGCCATGTAGCAGGGTGGGGAGGACAACTGCTCGATATACGTGCAACTCTGTACATAATTTCAGCTCCCTACAGCTGAAGACACGGGTGCGAAATCTACCAAAGGCTTGAGATGCACATCTGATCCGATGTTGAATCTTTTCATTGATGTCCGCAGTGGTGGACAGGTGGGAGCCGAGATACTGAAAGTGGGTACCATTAGAGAGGTTAGTACCGTTAAGCTGGATGGATGGTGGAGTTGTGGCTGAACCAGGGGCAGGCTGAAAGTTTGAGCGACAAGGGTGATGTCGTCTGCATACTGAAGTCCAGTAATGGAAGCTGCCGACACCATTGTTCCTGCCTGGATTCGTCTTATTTTGAAAAGATCCTTCATCCGGTACTATATGTCCACCCCGCTGGCTAAATTGGCACTGGCATGAGCCAAGTAAATATAAAGAGAGTTGGCTCCAGTACACATCCTTGTTGTACCCCTGTTTGGATGGGGAATAACTCAGACTGGGTGCCATTGTGAAAAACTGCCGTCCATACCGTCGTGGAATTGCCTCACAATGGCAATGAATTTTGGTGGGCAGCCAAACCGGTTGAGGGTCCACCAGAGGGCTTCCCTGTAGACAGAGTCGAAGGCCTTAGTTAGGTCGATGAACGCCATGTACAGATCACGACACTGTTTTCTGCACTTTTCCTGCATCTGGCGGGCAGCAAAGATCACGTGAGTGGTGCCACTTGATGGTCTAAAGCCACACTCAGATTCTGGGAGGAAGTTTTTGGCCTCAGGTAGTAGTCTGTTTAGGAGGACTCGGGCGATAATTTAGCCAGCAACGGACAGTAACGAGATCCCGGGGTAGTTGCCACTGTCTGACCAGTCTCCCTTGTTCTTATAAATATTGACGATGAAGGCGTCTTTATGAGCTTGGGGGATTTCCTCCTATTCCCTTATATTCTCCAGGAGAGATTCGGGACGTCTAGTAATCAGAGGTCCTCCTGCTTTATACACCTTGGCTGGGATTACATCAGGCCCTGAGGCTTTGTTATTTTCCATCTGTTTGATGGCAGTAGCTACCTCATCCAGGGATTGAGGATAGTTAAGATGAGTCAGCTCTGCATGCTGAGGGACTTGCTGGGTAGTCAGGATAATCCACATCGGTGTTTCAGTTGAGCAGCGAATGGTAGTGCTCTTGCCAGCGCTGATGGATGCCTTCTTCGTTTTTAATTAGGGAGTTACCGTCGGATGAGTGGAGGGGGCTGATTGGCCCATAAGATGTTTTACTGGAATTGAAAAATTCACTCATCTCGTGTTGATCTGCAAGTTTTTGCTGTGATGTAGTTTGTGAGGTACTGGCTTTGATAAGTAATGCAGTTTGTGAGGTACTGGCTTTGATAAGTAATGCAGTTTGTGAGGTACTGGCTGTTATAATTAATGTAGTTTGTGAGGTACTGACTGTGATAAGTAATGTAGTTTGTAAGGTACTGGCTTTTGATAAGTAATGCAGTTTGTGAGGTACTGGCTGTTATAATTAATGTAGTTTGTAAGGTACTGGCTTTGATAAGTAATGCAGTTTGTGAGGTACTGGCTGTTATAATTAATGTAGTTTGTAAGGTACTGGCTGTGATAAGTGATGTAGTTTGTAAGGTACTGGCTGTGATAAGTGATGTAGTTTGTAAGGTACTGGCTGTGATAAGTGATGTAGTTTGTAAGGTACTGGCTGTGATAAGTGATGTAGTTTGTAAGGTACTAGCTGTGATAAGTGATGTAGTTTGTAAGGTACTGGCTGGGATGAGTGATATAGTTTGTGAGGTACTGGCTGTGATAAGTAATGTAGTTTGTAAGGAACTGGCTGTGATAAGTAATGCAGTTTGTGAGGTACTGGCTGTTATAATTAATGTAGTTTGTAAGGTACTGGCTGTGATAAGTAATGTAGTTTGTGAGTTACTGGTTGTAATAAGTAATGTAGTTTGTGAGGTACTGGCTGTGACAAGTAATGTAGTTTGTGAGGTATTGGCTGTGATAAGTAATGTAGCTTGTGAGGTACTGGCTGTGACAAGTAATGTAGTTTGTGAGGTACTGACTGTGATAAGTAATGTAGTTTGTGAGGTACTGGCTGTGATAAGTAATGTAGTTTGTGAGTACTGTGACAAGTAATGTAGTTTGTGAGGTACTGGCTGTGGAAAATAATGGAGTTTGTGAAATATTGGTTGTTATAAGTAATGTAGTTTGTGAGGTACTGGCTGTGATAAGTGATGTAGTTTGTAAGGTACTGGCTGTGATAAGTGATGTAGTTTGTAAGGTACTGGCTGTGATAAGTGATGTAGTTTGTAAGGTACTGGCTGTGATAAGTGATGTAATTTGTAAGGTACTGGCTGTGATAAGTGATGTAGTTTGTAAGGTACTGGCTGTGATAAGTGATGTAGTTTGTAAGGTACTGGCTGGGATGAGTGATGTAGTTTGTACGGTACTGGCTGTGATGAGTGATGTAGTTTGTATGGTACTGGCTGTGATGAGTGATGTACTTTGTAAGGTACTGGCTGTGATAAGTGATGTAGTTTGTAAGGTACTGGCTGTGATGAATAATGTGTTTAATGTTATAATGTTATTGCTGTACTTAAACAACTACTAAAGGGCGTGACAAGCAATTATACTAATCCATCAACGATTAACAATTATAAGAGATATAATTCTGTGTTAACCCTTTAGTAGGCAGAGGGTTTTCTCAGTTGAACAAAATCATCTGCGCTGCTGCCATTAAAGATGCTAATCGAGATGGGCTGTAATGAATAAGAAACCCAGAGTCACGTGTTGAAGTGATCAAAATACACAAGGACAATGGGGGATTATCATAAATTGATTATTTTCGAAATACTGATATTTTTTAGGAACTACATGAGATTGATTAGACTATGCACGGACGTGGGAGATAATAAGTTACCATGGGAGTATGAACGGTTTAGATAGTGAAAACATTGTTTTGAAGAAATAAGCGTTCCTTAAAATAATGGCGCTAAAGACATTGTCTGAACGTTTTATATGATAGAAAAGATGTACGAAAAAGGACAGGGTACTGTTCACAGTATTAATATTATAACCGCGTTAGAGTGTCTTACCCTCCAAACTGCAGGGTATGGTGGAGATTCTGATACCGTAACGGCGGCTGGAGATGGTGTAGTCAGTAGTGATGGTGAAAGTGTGTGGGCTCGTTGTGCCCGCTGTCTCTACGTACCCTATACCATACATGATATGTGGGGAGAAAAATAATAGACAGAAGCATAATAATAATAATAATAATAATAATAATAATAATAATAATAATAATAATAATAATAATAATAATAATAATAATGATAATAATAATAATAATAATAATAATAATAATAATAATAATAATAATAATAATAATAATAATAATAATAATAATAATTATAATAATAATAATAATAATAATAATAATAATAATAATAAATATTATTATTATTATTATTATTATTACTATTATTAATAACTTAATGACTTAAGTTAATCCACAATATCCAACCCTACACGATTTTTTTCGCCCTTAATTTTATGTACTGTATACTGTATATCCTAACGTCTGTTTATACTACCGCCAAACAAGTGAAAATAAAAACCAAGCAACAATGATAAACAAATTTAATGCATCACAAGCTTAAGCAACAGATTAAATATAAATTGCAATAAATAAGAATTACTACCTTATATTATTTATCACTTCTGTTATTATTATTAGCTTTATTTAAATATTAGCGTGTGTGTGTGGGTGGGATTCATTACTCACAGTGATAGTTGTCAGGAGCCTTCCCACAAAAGTACGTCGACTTGTGGTCCTCCTGGAACACTAACTTGTCCTTTTCACAAACTCCTGTCAAGATCACATATGGATCAGTCTTCACGAGGCCGGTGTAATTATTCTATTTGTTTCTTAAAAGATCTTATGTGTAAGTCCAGTGTAAGTCTTGAGTTATCTGTTATTGACAGTAATTACATTGTGTCGCTTCTCTCTCTTTTTCTCTCACTTGATACGAGTCATCAGATGTTGCTAGTCTCTCTCTCTCTCTCTCTCTCTCCCCCTCATATGATTATCACCACTAGAAAACTCACCTTTGGTAGAGGGCGAAACAAGCTCCATCGAGTCATAGTCGTAGCGAATTTGACAGATGTTGCCGGTGTTGTCGTCGAAGTAGACTTTGTAGGTACAAGTCTGAGCCTTGCTGAAGTATCCTGGGTAATCCTGCGACACCACCCACGAGTTGTTGACCCTGATGATTCCTCCACACCCGACCTGACGAACTGATATACATCGAGGTGGTTATAGTTGAATGACTCTCTCTCCCTTTAATTTCCCTTTTTTCTCTACTCGACTCCCTTTCACCTCTCTCTCCTTTCCTTTATTTTCCTCCGCTTTGCTATCTGCCTTCATTTCCTCCTCTTCATTCTGCTTAATCTCATCCCCTCACCTCTCCTTCTTTTCCCATGTCATCCCCCATCCTTTCCCCATTTTCCTTGGACTCACCTTGGCAGCAAGTACCGTAGCCAACAGCGCAGGTTCCTACACTCTTGCCTCCTAATTCGTCACACTGCTCGACGGTGTAGCAAGTACCAGTTTCGAGCCCTGACCCGCACAGTAGATTGGGGAATCTTATTACCGTGAAGATGACTGTGGGAGTGTTATATAATAATTGAAAATACATGTCATATACGATACAACAGTTATTTGATAATGCTTGGTCACTTATTATACTCTTGTATTTATTTATTGATTCTTTGATTTATTTTCTCATTACTGTATTCTTAACTGTATCTCAGAATCCTTACATTTCCCCTCCTTATCCTCTGTGATCGTGTGGTTGTATCCCTGATAGATGGAGGAGTCAACTCCCTGTTCCTGTAGGAGGCTGTCGTTGACTAAGAACTTTTGCTGGGGAGGGTCGTCGACAAAGAACTCTTGCTGGGGGTCGTCGACGTGGACCTCCTGCTGGGAATGGTGTTGAGGCGGAGACTCGTAGGGGATGCCACTGACGCGGATTAGCACTGTCACCCAAACCATCAGGTATCTAAGGGAAGGAAACATTCCCCACGACCCCACTCCTCTTCCTCCTCTTGTCGCTGTTATTCCTCCTTCTTTACCTCCCCCTCTTCCTGGTGCTGCATGGCGTGGGGCCAACATCACTCTGTGAACATTAAATACTATGAAACATTAAAGAATTTTAACACTGATACATGAAAGCACTCTAGCATATTGAAATAACGAAATATTGTAACACTCTGAAACGCTTTAAGCATTGTAACAATGAAACATTGACGCACTGTACAATTCTGAAGCATTGTCAGAGAACCGTTTTGAAATAATGAAACATTTTTTTATACACTGAGGATTTTGGATCACTTTGAAGTAATGAAACACTGTCAAATACTCTGAAACAACGAAACACTTGGAAGCAATTCACAGACGGCCCCATACGGATGTAAGGAACATTCTTGATTAATTATAGGAACTAATCTCTCATAAGTTTTGAGAGAAAACTTTTCTGCGGTACAGGAGATTGCATCTTTGATCTACTAAAATCTGAGACGGACACTTCAGTGATAGACCTCGTTACCTGCTATTCTAAGCTCTTCTTCGATGCAACAACCAAACCCATCAGAGTAACAGCCACCTCTGGTCGAACAACACTTTTGACAATGTCTAAAATCCCTTCCCTGTTTTTGTCAAGTATAGCACAGCCACAAAAACTGAAAAGACTAGTTAAGTTACAATACAGTATTGAGACTACCGTGACGATAATATTCTATTGTTCAAAACAATATAATGAATGCTATGCGGGATCTTGTCTATACGCCTCCGAAAACCCAAACGTGATTTGCTGCAACTTCTTCATATTCAATGCTTGATTTGATAAATATTTTCCTCTCAATGAAAAAAATATATCTATCTGCAAGCCTTATAATACAGCTGAAATCAAAGCAATGATGAAAGAAAAACACAAATTTCTGAAAAAAAAAGACCCATAACATTTGATGCCGCTTATAGAAGTATCCGAAATAGAATAAGACAAGCAATTAGAAATGCCTCACGATGTTATAATATAAATAAATTACAGTCAGTATCAGGCGACAGTAGGAAAACCTGGAGTGTCATTAATAATTCTATTCAGAACAAGAACACTCATCCTACAGCTCCTAACTCAGGTTTTATGATAAATGATACAGCTGTAGCTGAATCCTCCCTCATTACCAACCACTTCAATAATTATTTTATCATTGTTGGCAGAAATCTTAATGAGAATGTTCCTAATCACCATGAGGAATCTAGAACCTACCTGAAAAACAGAAAAAAACTATTTGTTGTTTTTGTCTATTGTCACTGCAAATGAATTACTGAACATCATAAAAAAAGATCCAAAGATGCAGAAGCAGGCGACGACAATATACCAATGAAGATCATTAAGAAAGTGACCCACCTATTACTATCTGTTCTCTTCCACATTTTGTAAGTGCTTCTCTAGCGGTTTCTTTCCAGGTAAATTGAAAGTAGCTAAAGTTCATACAGCATCAAAAAAAATACGGTGGTAAAGGTCTTTTTATGAACTATTTCCCCATATCAGTCCTCCCTTGCAGCCTTAAGTACGATACTCGATAAGCTGGTAATGTAAATTGATAATTAAGACCCTATCAACAAAATTTCTCACTTGCAAATTGAATAAAACAGATAAGGAAACCTTCTTGTGAAAAAGCAGTAAGTTCTTTGTATATTTCACAAAAAGATGGGAGTGACTAACGGACACAATCAGTAGCCTCCCAGCCCCTTTTGCCCCCTCCTTCCACCTTCATTAAAACAAAAGATACGATTCTCCAGAGGTCGTCTCTTTTATTATAAATATTGGCTAATGTAGTCCAATCATATTATAAAGGCCCGAGAGCGAGAAACTAAATACTTATTATGCAAGTATATAATTCAATCTTAAGCTGCAGTAAATCGGGTTGAGCCCGGATACGCTCATTCTCCTTCTTTCCTTTCTTTCACCACTCATTCACTGATAATGCATGAACACGTCGCCATGTGAGGAGGGTCAGTCAGCCTGCGACCAGCATCCAGTAAATACCATTTAACGTGTACCCTTTATTATCTGGTATTCAATGTTCTATTGTCGTGACGTACTTTGGCCTGTAAACTGTTGCAAGTGTTTCGTGAAGACCTCAACATAATATGGCGTAGTAGGGTGTGTCATAGGAGGGAAGATCAGCTAAAACTAATGGCCCATCACTTTTTTGGTAGATTTTAGTGTATATAAACAGAAAATAATTTCAGTTTCAATATTTTGCAACCTTTTGCTAGGTAAATTTTAGCGTGAAATTTATCGAAAATCTAACGTACAGCTGCATTAGTGCATTACAATTAAATAGTGAACATTGCTTTCTGACTTCATTCTTTAACAACCCAACTAACAATATTTTTTTCTGTTTCAGATTCTGATGCATTTATAAGTTGATAATATTTGCGATGGCTGCTTGTGTCAGGACGAGGAACCAAAAATCCAGCCATCTCAGTCACTATCTTGGGTCTGGGAGAGAGCTCCTGAAGTCGGAGTTGCCTACATTGAGAGATGCTTTGAGATACGGTGTTTTAATCAGGCAAATCAGTGAAAAGAACCAAAGAACTTACAAACAAAGACATTGCCAGTGATATGACCAAAGCTGTCTTGGCACAGTACACTCTGGCTAACGCTCAGTTCAAGCCTCCAGTCATAACAAGTCAGAAGATTAGTGAGAGACTGCTAGCCAGTTGGGAAAAGGCAAGAGATATCTCTCTTGGGAGAGGAAAACTTGCAGTTAAGGACAGCTTTGCCAAGCAACTGGACCAGTTATTTGACATAAATACTTGCAAGTGCCCAATTGTTCTCTGTCCTGAGTTTGGATGCGATCGTGACTGTAAATCCGAGGTCCACATCTCCTGTATTTGCAAGCGTGAACTGAAGATTCCTGTGATCGAACTGGCATTTGTCAAAGCACAGAGAGAGAAGACTGGCAGTATAGGGGCTCTCATGATTTCTAGCCAAGATATTCCGGAGTCCAAGAGACAGGAGGCTGCCACAGAGAGACAGAAGAGGAGAAGAGTTGCCGAGGAAAAGAGACTTGAGAAGGCCCAGGGTGAGGTAAAAAAGGCCGATGATTGGAGTCAAGCTGATTCAGAGTTTAATGACTTCCCCATGGCTGATCCGAGTGCTGACCAGGAGAATGGTGACTTTGTCCCTAACCCAGAAAATAATGATCCCAAACCTTCCAGGCATAAGATTCGAAATAGGAAAGATATCCCGAGCATAGCTCTGGCCAGCATGCGACACCACACTGGTCTCAGAGAAACTGCAGAGATAGCAACAGTTGCCTGGATTGACGGTGGTTTGATAACACCTGATGATGTTCACCTGGCGATAGATCATAACAAAGTAAGGAGAGCTCAGGAGAAACTTGTCAGTAACCTAGAAGAGGAGTTTGATAAGGGGATAAGAGAAAATGGAATCAATTGTTTGTTCTTTGATGGGAGAAGGGATGACACTAAAGTGTTCATGAAAGTTGGAGATCCTGACAAGTTGTTGAAGGAGGAACACTACTCCTGCTGCAGTGAACCAGGAGGGAAGTATTTGTGGCATTTCACTCCAGAGAAAGGAGGAAGCTGAGATACTAACTGAACTCTCCTGCTGCCTGAACACAGGAGGGGGGGTCATACAGTGGATAGCGGAAGAATTGGGAGGAAGCTGGTCTGGATTGTTTGTGACCTCCACACCAACGAGTTGTCACTCAGACATCTGATCCAGGAGCTGGATGGCAAGACTCTTTCAAACAACAGATGGTCTGGTCCTCTTGGCAAGATGCTGGACTCTGCCACTGAGTTAGAAATAAATCCGAGCTTTGAAAAAATCACAGTTGGTCCTCCACTCGTTGAGCTTGCACATACTGTCATTGACGACCTGAGTACTGACCAGTAGTATGGTTACATGATTTGCAGTGCCATCAAAATTGGGGTCATGCCTGATAGAATTGCTTACCTGCAGATAGGTCCAGTCTCACATTCTAGGTGGCTCACAACGGCTCTCAGGTTCTGCAGAATTTGGGTCGCTCATCATAAACTGAAAGGGAACCAGCTTCACAACCTGAGACTTATTGTCCAATTCATCGTGAGTGTCTACTTGCCAAATTGGTTCAACACCAAGGTCAAGTCATCGTTCTCCGAAGGTCAAGGGCATGTTCTCTTCAGCAGGCTCCTGAGAGTCAGCCAAGGAAGGTTGTTCAGATTGTGGAGCAGACTGTGAGGAGATCTTCCTGGTATGCTCATCCCGAGGCAGTTCTGCAGACAATGCTCTGCAGTAAGGATGAGGAGGAGAAGAGTGGCAGTCAAAAAGATCTTGGATATGAGACTTATGAGAGGATCTGGGGATGGCGAATCAGTTGGTGACGATTCCTTCAGGGTCAGGAAGACTCCTGAAGTCAATCTAGGTGCCAAGACCCTCACTGATCTCATAGATCTGGATAACATCCAGGCTGGCAGTGAGCTCCCTCTTCCTGCAGCCTCACCAATGTTCAAGTCAGAGCTTTCCTGGACAACCCCATGCATGTCCATGCCTGGCCCTCGCACACCCAGAGTATAGAGCGTTGTGTACAGCAAGTGAGCGAGGCCAGCAGTCACGTGTACAGCCAGGAGAGGAGGGAAGGCTACATCCGAGCTCAGGTGGTCAGCAGGGAGGTGATGAGTAGAAACAGAAGCAAGAAAAGACATGTTCTCTATGGTGTGCAGCAACACCGGGTCGTCGTAGTAAAACCGGTTTTTGTATTTGATGATTTTGTTTTCTAAAGGAATATTAAATTTAATAAATGTGTCAAGATCATTCGTTTCACTATTCTGGATCATTTTCATCCTAATAAATTAACCTGATACATTTACTTTACTTTAAATAAGCTATTTAGTGCTGTTGGTAAAAGGGTGGGAATACTGAATTTTCATAAGATTTCAAGTTAAAATTTTCCTAGCAAAAAATGAAAACTTTTCAAATCTGAAGATATCACATGATTCTGCACATAGAACTACATCATTAATACCATGGGCCGATTTTTCAAACTCAAAAAAAAAAAAATTCGCCTCCGTATGACACACCCTAATGGCGTATGATTTTAGCCT